ATCCAAAAATTTGCAAACACCCGCAACATAAAATTATATTATGTCCATCCTGATCATCCCAAATCTAAGAAAATCGTTGAATGCTTCTATTTGACGATTACTGAACATTTGAGGATTCTTCAAACTATCCATGAGGAGCTCGACATAGTTAAACAAATGCCTTATGCCTTTCAATATCAATATTGAAAATCGCGTACAAAATGCCTACATCAGCTCATAAAAACAAGACTTCTGAGATATGTAGATACACTAACAAAAAACTGAACAAATTGAACCAAAAAGTAATTGAAAAACGGAACGCAAACCGCGAACCGCCTCTCACACACAAAAGAAAAACACCGCCATACAAGCGCACCGATGCTCCAAAATTTGAAAGAGTAATAGTTTCAAAGGAACAAAGGACAAAATTTAAATTACCTAAAAAACCTTACCCAAATCAAGTTTCAAAAAACCATTGTTTTAGGTTCGTCCTATCAGTGACGATGAGCCAAGAAGTTCAAATACAGTCACTAAATAAAAATTCAGGTATCCTACTCTTCAAATTAGGAAACGCACGAGTCATAAATAGTTTTCACGCCTTAATTCATCACTTAGGCATTACTCCTATTGCTAACCAACTTATTCTAATACAAATTCAATATTCAAAATCACTCGAAGCAGTGAATAACGGGCAATCACACCCATATTTTCCAGAGTTGAAAGCGATCAGTCAGTCGATATTCTTTCAACTAAAGTTATCATTTGTTTCAGTTATACCCATCAGGAGATCAAAACGAGGCTTTATAAACGGATTAGGCAGTATAATTAAGTGTATTATTGGCATTCTAAACTCTCAAAACGCTAAAAAGTAGGACCAAGCCATTATAGAAATACAAAACAGCCAGGACAACATTGGGTTGGCGCTTCAAGAGAACGTAAATGACAAGCATCCACCATGTTTTCAAACACCTTGTATACATTCCTCATTGGATCGCACGTATGAACGCTAGACCTCGAAAAACTTCCTTTGGCGATGTATTATGTTACACCCTGTAAATTGTTCACTATTTATCATAAAGACTATTTCTCTCCAAATGTCTTATGGAATTTAATTTTTTTCTCAATCTGAGGAAATTTCGATCCTGACTCCTTTCTTTTACATGGAAATTACGTCACAATTTTTCTCTACTACGATCCGTCGACTATCATGAACGGCTTAGGGCCCTTATAATGCGCGTTATCTTTGATTTTTCAAAGGCGTATTTTGAAACTCTTCATCTTTTTTTTTCTCTATATACTCCATTGCTTGCCGACATTTTTGTTTTCTAGATACACCCTGAGAATTCCACACTCTAGTCGATCTGTATATGCACTCGAATTTTTGTGAAATATCCGATGCAATTTTCGCGATAGAAATAAACGCCTCATAGTGCTATATTTTTACGTATTTTTGGAATTATTTTCCCATTTTTTGTGACACATCACAATTCAAATCATATGGGATTTTTTTAAATTGAAGCATTGAAAAATGTGCTTTTATCGATGCGGTTATTGTACCCAAAATGACCGTTTCGGCGCGTTATATTTTTGCAAGATTTCTGATGTAATCTTGCAACAAAAATGAACGTTTCATTGCATTATATTTTCGATTTTCAAATGAAGTACATTTGATAATGAATAATTCAATACTGGATGATGTTGGCTTCTCTGAGTTGATTGAATACAACTGTTACTTCGATGTTGTGAGTCATTTGCACATCATGAAAGTAGCATTTGTTGATATCCAGGGATTTGTTGTCGAGTATCAATTCTATCCCAAAGAGATTGCTATTGAGATCGATAATCAATGTAATGATTTTCTATTTATGCCGATTAAACCATTCTTCTCCTTGAAGAGAGACGATAGAAGAAGCGTTGTTTATGAGAAAAGAAACACTCATGATTTTGAATATTCTTTGGGATTCGTTGAATATCATCTACAGGATAGAATCCTCAAGGAAAATCTGAATCTAAATGATGTCGATTTCATCTATGTGTTTGACCATCAAAAGAAAGCCTTTGGAAATGACAGACTGCACCTATTCAATATATACGCAGCTGTTGTGAATTCAGAAGACTTTGAAGACCCATGGTGGATTGCAAAATTCGAGAAAAACATTTCGTTTTATATGCATTATTCTAAAGGAAGTCTGTTCGGCTGCAGTCTCAGTAACAGTGTTATTTTATATAAATTACTTCACTATATACTACCAAAATGAATATCAAATATGTTACACCAATGGTTCTTATTTTCATGTTTTCCAGTGAAATTTGTGAGGTTGGATACCAAAATGAATAAAATACATGCTGCATACCAATACTTTCTTTTTTCGTGTTCTTCAGTTGAAATTATGAGGTAAGATCCCTTCACGCCCTTGTATCTTCAATAATAACTGAGTTAGTCTGCTATAACCATCAGACACGAAAACGAAAAAACAAAAATGAAAACAAAAACGAAAACCAATCGAACGGACAAGACGTATCTTGGAACACTTTTTTATTTCAATACTCATCATATACTTTATTGTATCGTTGACATGTTTTTTACTATTTGAAAACGTATTTTGAACTGCTCCTGTATACGTTCCGCATTGGGATGGCACGTTGAAACGCTAGACCACCCTCTGTTACTGTACAATTTTTTTATCGAACGATGTATTTTCTAGGCAGTCCAAGCAGTTCCTCATTGGGATCGCACGTTGAAATGCTAGGCCATGTTTTGTTTTCTTCAACGATGTATTTTCAAAACACACAATATATATTTTTCTATTATGTTTTCAACGCGCGCTTATAGCCATCACGCCCAACTTTTTTGTTAATCGGCAACACTTCATACACCCCATTCTGAAGTGTTTATTCCACGATAGACAACACCGAGCTTAACGTAACGCTATCTTTGAAATGGATTTATAGCCATCATCTACGGAACATCCTAGCGCGCAAACCATCGTTGCAGCGCAAGGCGTTGGTTACACATCTACTCACATACATGCTGACAGTGCGTAAAATTGTTTTTATTTATTTTTGATCCTTCCTTTTCTAAATGAATTATACTATAGTCTGTCAAAACAAAATTAAACTGCAAAGATTGATTGGTCTCTAACTAAATTTCTTTCAATGGGTATTACAAATGAAAATTATCTAATAGAGTTAGGTGAGAACAATGTTTCTGAGACATCTGATGTAAGGTTTTTTATATTCAGTTGTGATAGATAGTTTTGGCAAAATAAGTATGAAGTATAAATTCTATATTGTTTTTGTGATTTCTATTGAGAATTATCAGAATATTCATAATATATCTGAATGTCAGTAGTTTATACGTATTCTGGTGTACCGGCGTAAACATTAACATTCTTGCATTTGCATGAATAATTTTGATTTGAAATACTCGAGGATCTAAAAATGATTTCATTCACTTTGAGAAGACAGATAATTTAATTTAACACGAGTATACTGTGTTTATAAAAATGAATGTACTGTAGCGTATATCTTTCCACCGAGTAAATAATCAAGATTGAAAAGTATATAAGGTGAACCAATGAAAACGAAACTATACCAATTTCTTATAGTTAGTGTTTTCAAAAAATCACTTAGACCCGTCAATTTTTATTTTGGGGCATATTTTCCACTCTGTCACTCATACACAACGGCAAGGAGCAATCCAACCCTTACGTCTCAATGGGATCATTTGTACTTTCAACAGAAGATAGAATTATAAACCTCAAATTACAAGTTCTACGTTGTAAACAAAAAGTAAGGCAATTAAAAAGGAATATCAGTTTTTTTATTGATTTTGTCTATAACCTTTTTAACTAATATTTATTGTTTGAAAATGTAGTTAAATTGAAGAGAAAAATTGGCGACTTTTCAGACGAGGTACTAGTCAACCCTTAATTCAATTCAGAATTTAAGGGTTAGGTCGAACGTTAAAGATTCATAACTGACAAAGTTAAAATATATCGAAAAAAATCTCAAAATGAAAATCGACGGGATCAAGCGTTTTGCCCACGCCACCATTGACAAATCGGCAGCGTCATAATTGTTACTGATCACATCTGAAATATGAGTAAATTAGTCGACGAGAAAGGGACGTGACAATATACTCGATCGTATAGAAAGAGACCAAATCATAACGAACTTTTAAAAAAAAACGCGGATGTCCGTCGGATATTTGTTAGTCCGCGACAATCACCTCGAAATTTTGAAGAGCGAAATCCTATAAATACTGTAGTTGTGTTTTGAAGATTCAGGAATCAATACAAAAATGAAACTGAGGTAATAAATGTGGCTGTGGATGACCTTCAATATTGCCTCTTCTCCCAACCCAGTGCAGTGGAAAATGTTGATTTGAATCAACAGTTTTGATGAATGAATTTGATGTTTGAGCATAGGTGCAATGATTGTCAACATTTTTCACAGCACTGAATTGGCAGCAAATGCAGCACTGAATCGCTCCCACGAGCACCACATTTGTTCTCTTCGACATTTTCTTGTGTGGATACCTGAAAAGTAAAGTCTATAGAATACAAGTAGCGCCTTCAGAAAATTTACGTCAAAAATGTTTAGACGGGTGCTGTCCATCCACTCTGGAAATTCTTTGGAATCTGCGAGAATGTTTTTAATGAAATCTTCATTACTGCGTGAACGTAGGTGATCGTAATTTCGCATATTCAATAAAAAAGACGTGAGTAAACATCAGCAGAAATTCAAACTTTCAAATTATTTTTTTCCAAAATGATTACTATGAAGAAATGTCAAAAGTTCAAAATCACATCGACTGTAATAATGGAAATATTCTTGTCCTCGCTGGTGAGAACCTTGTTCATTTTTCGTTATTATTTCATTTGATGCCTCCTTTGCAACAACTAAGTACCTGAGTAAATTTATCGCTGTAAACCGATATAAATTTATCTCCCGGTTAAAAATAAAATGTATTGTCACTATTATTCATTTCACTTCTAATATGGATGCTGTTTTCTCACCATAATACCGGTGCTGACCGCAATGCCCCTTCCACAGTACGTGTTAGGAACTATGTCTCCGAAGCCGACGCTCAGAAATGTTATTGCGATCAGCCACATGGCGTTAAGAAGGTTTGCGTGTTCTTCGTCGTGGAACCTGTAAAAAACAACGAATCTTCATATCTATATGATTGAACACTTATAATTTAACAATTATGAAAACCCTTTCAGATAGATTCGCAAAAACCCATTTTTTTCAGTGGGTGTCTGTGGTCATCGATATTATCACAATCCGAAAAGTATAGCAGAAAAAGCAGAAGTATAGCAGAAAAAAGTATAGCAGAAAAGTATACAAAAGTCCAGAAATAAACATTTTGATCAGAAATAAAAAATATTCAGATTTGAGAAGAGAAGAGGTGAATTTTTAACTTCACATTGAAAAATAAAATAGATATTTCAAAGTACATGAGCAATTTTGAACCTCTTAAAGCCCTGACATTTCATAATAATACGAGTAAGTGAAAAAAAACCCTAAGCTTCTCTTATAATACGAGAAGAAGCCCTGAACTTCTATAATATGTTTTTTTTTGTTGTTATGTTTTTTTTTCGTTAACCAGCTATCGCCCCCCCCACGAACGACAACCCCCAGTCGAAACTTGTGCGAGCTAAGGTCTTACTTTTTAACGTGTGATTCCTTACATGGGTTGGACGATAGCAAGTGAAAACTCACACATCTGCCGATTGAATGAGTAAACAAAGCACCCACGTCGGTACAATGAAGTGGAAAGAATAAGCTATTTTTCACAGTGACCGGTTTTAGAAAGTACTATGATGGAAATTAGATATTAACAAGTTGATTTGAAGAAATATTTTGTTCAGATAAGAAATACTCCAAATGAAGCAAGATGTTTTTACATGCTTTATATTAGCTTCACCCATATGTATGTATGTTTGTTTGCTTGTAACTCCCAAGCTCGGGAACGTATTGGTAGAATTATCGACATTATTATTGGTTGATCTATTCGCGGGCAGATGGCGATGTACGTAACCTTCTTGATAGGATGGATTTTAAGAATAATGATTTTTGGCGAAATTTTGTACTACAGATGAAATATTTAGATATTCAAATATTTTCAATTACCCGCGATTTAGTACAGAAAAAAGTTTCGAACGAAACGAAAGATACATTTTAAAATATAATTCGATTATTTGAAAGCAAACCAGAATATGGATTTCAACATTGAAAACGTTATTGTAAATTGTACACCTAAAAAATTCACTTACTTAAATATTTCAACATATCAAATCAAAAGATTGACTTGAAAATTAAAATTATTCACTGAAAACATATTCGGAGTCCATTAATATTTTGAATTAAACTTCAAATCAAAACATCAAGACTGAATTGTTTTTTGAAATTATTACTGCAAATTTTCTCTGTACTTCGAAACAAATTTTACAACTGTCCGCCCTCTGTTGGAGACTTACTATACTACCTGCATCTCAGTATTACTATAGAATTTAGGACCTCAAAATTTATTATGTTGTTTGAGAGGAATTTTACATTCGTGCGCCATCTGTTGAAGATTTATAATACTAGTGACTAGAACTTAAAAAAAAATTGACAGTAAATCGGACAAAAAAGTGAAAAATAAATTAAGTTTGAAAAAACTAAGAAACACTCTTTCATAGCACATGAAACTAGTAAGTAAAAAATAAATATTGTTTTAAAAAACTGAAAAACACGCTTTAAAAGAACATCGAACTAACAAGTTAAAAATAATTTTTTTATGAGCCTTAAACAATAAAAAACGGAAAATACTAGTATTATTGTGAGAAATGCGTGGGCGCTGTGTGCCATTTTTTTTGTATATCAAGCGCCCGTCGCTTTTCTCACAATAATACTAGTATTTTTCATTCGTTATTGTTTTAAGCTCATTCAAAAATAAATATTTTTAACTTTTTAGTTCGATGTTCTTCAAAAGCGTGTTTTTTAGTTTTTTGAAACTATATTCATTCTTCTAGCTATTTCTGGGTATTGACAACGCCGCTGTAAAAATTTCATCAATCATGCAAATCCACCACTTATTCATAGGGATATTTTTATAGTAACAATAGCGATGAAAGAAACAAATTTATTTGCTGAACAATTTGTATCCCACTCCTCAGTTGACTTTCATGGAAAAACACCACTCACTCCCCTCTACTATATAATCCCCACTGTTAGCGCAATTTCACACGGAGAGCTTCCACGTTTCTCGCTCCTGAGAGAGAGGAAGGTTGTTGGCATCAAAATGCAACAACAAGTCCACTGGAGCTTTCAGACGAAGAGCAGGAGCCGCCACGTCTCTGGAGATGAGCTCTCCTGCACCTCGAGCCGGGAGCCACGTCTCCACCTCAAAATACATAAGGATGAGTTGGGGGCTTCCACACGAGGAGTGAAAACGGCTCTCCCTAGTTGACGCTTCACACTAATTTTCATGGCAGATTATGATGTGGAGCTATCTGCAACCGACCTGTTCTTTGGAATAAAAGTCTCAACATTTATAAGGATCGGAATAAAGTCGTGAAAAGATGGGTGTAAGTCTGCAAGGTACTGAATGTCGATTCTGCAACTTTATCTATCCCATTATTGATCGTTGACGTTTCTGTCGTCGAAGTTTGTGTCGACGGTAGAGGACGTACGACTGACCTCAAGGGGCGGTAGGTAGGAGTGATAAACGCTCCCATTTGGGAGCGAGAATTGTGAAGCTCCTCGTGTAGAAGATTCCTTAGACATATTGAGAGCGTATTATCATCATACGAGTAGTTCGAGATCAATAAAAATCATTCTGATAAAGTACCTGTTGTATGAAGAAATATACCAGTGATTTATAAACTTTTCAACTTCTCTTATAAAACCGGGGTTTTTCCTTCTCGTCGGGAAACGGATTGGGGCGAGAAATATCTTACAGAAAACTATAGACCACCAGTTTAATTACCATTAGTGATATGGGAAATCATCGAAAAATCAATATATCTTTAGATACTCATAATGCTTCGACATCTTGAGTGATCATCAATATGACCCTCTCACATATGTGACCCATCGTTAGAACAATGTAATCGAGAAACACAAAGAGTCTCGAGGTGTTTCGCTTGATTTTTTCAAGACCTTCGACCGTGTTTGATGTCAAAGTTTACTAATTAAACTATGATGTTATGACTTGTCAGATCGTCTTGATTTGTAACTCTCCAGTTTTTCAGAAAACATTTCTTATATGTAACCATCGATGATTCTCTGTCGAATACCTTCACCATCCACGGTGCTATTCCATAGAGATTCATATCTTTTTCAACTCATTTTCTATTAAAGATTAACGATCTATTGAAGAAGACTACGAATTCAATATTTTTCCTCGCCGATGACGGCATTTTTATGTCTAATTTCCATTTGGATACTCAAATATCAGCTGCCAATGCACATCTTCGGCGACAAAATATTTTATAAACCAATGAAGATCTGAAAAAAATCGGCTTGATATGGTGAGGCTTCTGTAGAATTTAATGCTACGAACACCTCTGTAATAGTTTTTTATAAGAAGGTGGATGTGGTGAAACTGCACATCATGTCAGAGTACATAAAATGCTTGTTCAATTTGTTGGGTATCAAATCAGTATCAATATGTCGATTCAGCTTTTCATTAACTTGCCAGACTATTTCGAACTAGAAAGTTGTTCACACTTCAGCACGTTTTATCACTTTATGGAGCTCAAGTATGACTTTCTTCGGAAAATTGTTCATAGATATGGAGCTTCTTCCTTACTTATACTCTGAGAATGATATATTCTATCCAGAAAGAGATTCAATAAATGTTTTCTGTAGATAATTTTATGGGAGTTGTTCAACTGACTGACTGCCCTGAAGCAGGTTTAACTTGATAAATCTTGAACTACACTTTTGAGAACACTTTCTTACTTCGCTTCGGATAATGTTGTATGAACTTTGCGAAATGATTTTCCTAAATGAGGATATTCTGCAGTGATCTAAATTCAACTTAAATCGCCACTTCCGCCCTGGTACCACTCTACGAGCGTTTCAAAAACTTTCCTGGGGTGCTTGTATACCCCTTTCGAAAAGAAGTCTGGATTAGAATATATCATGTGAAACAAAGAACATTGAGTTCCTTCATTCATGGACTTCATCAGCATCCCTCCCATTGATCCTGCAGGTTGGCCGACACGTGTAAATGTAGTTACGATTACTGTTATGCGGAACAAACATTTTTTGCTTCGATTTCCTCGGACCGCAAAAATTCGAATGAATAACAGAAGGCTCAGGGAGTTTTTGTCGATATTCCCCAACTGACGGACACGATGTGACGTTTAAACACACGACATCGTACGTGGGGTAGTATTTTCATGATAATGTAAATAGTCGATACGTTTTCGTGACCACGTGTTATTTTTTGTTGACTACACGAGAAATATAAAGAGGAATAGACTGTGAAGAGAGTTGACGGCGATTACATTTATTTTTCATTAGATTATCATTAAAGTTGAGAGTTGAAGTCATTTCCGTTTTGTTGTACATTCCTCACGGCTCACAGTGGATAAATTTCTCCAGCATATTGTCATCGTGTATGTGCGAAATAAACTTATACGATGCAATCTGAGTAATGATATTTTAATGGGTGGGTTATCGGTTCTGAAACGAAAACGTGCTCAGCGCGCTACGCACACAAGTGTGTGTTATCATTACGTTTGAATCAGTCAGGCGCGCGAGCTTTTGTATCGCTTCAGATAGTTTGATCATGCACTATATCCGATATAAGAGGTTTAATTCTGAGCCAGCTTAAGAACAAAACAGCTGTAACATACAACTTCCTGGAAAATCAATTTCACAGCCCGATCTGTTTCTGAACAATGTTAGTATTTTAGTCAAACTGGAAGTAACAGTTTAATAAGGTGTGTAGGCGCACTTTCAGAATTCTACGTTTTGGTTCAATTTTTCATAACAAGTCCTGTTGAACTTCCTTATACTCGTATATGAAAAAAAAAAATGAATATTTTAAGGAAAAAAGGCTTAAAAACTTTTTGCAATTGAACCAACTTCGAGTCTCCAAAGAATTGAAGGACATTGCACATTGAAGACCAATTTCTCATTTACAAAGTATT